TTGTTCTGCAGGCATTTCTTGTTGTTTTTCATAGTTCCAAATCTCCATTTCTAAGAACTGAAATACGAAGCCAAAAGAACCTCTCCCTTCTTGTGCATCTTCTTTGTACTTTTTAAGTTCCATTTTCAGTTCTTCTAAAAGTGGAGCCATTTTAAACAGTTTTAAACAACAACCCGATTGATTTTAGTCATTCAAATACAATAACCAAGAATCCAGAGATCACCAAGTAATCCAAATAGTCCCAAGCTGTTTCTTCTTATTTCTTTTTCCACTTTCTCTTCCTGGGGTTTTACTATTTTGTTGCGATGTTTCAGTTAAGATGTATCTTTTGGAAGTCTTGTTGAGATTTTGCTATAAGTTCTTTTTAATTCCAGGCAGTCTCCTCCCTTCCAGATCCTGCCCTTTTATTCTTTTTCTCTCCTTTCCTGTTTTCAAAAGCTTTTAATTATCCAGAAATCTTTATTATCCCTTTGACTGTTTATTTTCAGCATTAAATGCCTATTAATGTCAGTGGATTTTTTTCCCAATTTCTTGCTTAAGTCTCTTAGCTGTCAGTATAGGAAAAGGAGAAAAAAAAACCCAAATCTTTTCCCTTTTCTCTTTCCTTCGCAGCTTAAAAAACTTCTTAGGGAACAATGTTATTGGTTTTTTTTTAATAGTTTCAATTCCAGGGTACCTTATTGTTGTTTTTGCTGTTTGACCTGGTCAACCAAAACTTTCTCTTCCTATCTTCCTCCTGCACATTCTTTTCCAGTTGAGTTCTTCTTTGTGGTGGCCATTTCTGACCACCACTACAACCACCTTCGGGAAAGGGAGTAATGACCAGCTGGGGAGGAGAGATGCAGCTCTCCTCAACCCTGCAGGCAGTCTCCCCCTTCTTCACCACCTCTACGGGGTGGCTTAGCCCCGAAACCAGCCGGCTTGGGGTGCTCCAGCGGCGAGCACGGATCAAAACCGCGCAGAGATGTGGTTTCGGTCTGTCACCGAAGAAGCTCAAACCAGAAGTCCATAAGGCAGTGTTTCTTGTGGTGGCTTTAAGATTTTCTGGTTGGAGAATTCTGGAACTTGAAGTCTACACAGTTTAAAGTCATCAAGGTTGAGCAACATTGACATACAGAGTGGCACATTGTCACTACAGATGGCTGGAAGTGTTTCTTATATTAAAGACAAGCAATACTGGTCAATCCATTGCCTAAGTTATTTTAGCTTCTTTTTGCAGTTGTTGGTTGAGGTTGGCTGGTCCTGGCATCTGTTTCAAAGGGGAGAAGAGATTTCTGCTGGAGACTGTTCTGATTCCCATGTATGTATGGGAATGTAAGGAAAGCCTCTGGCCATTAACAAGGCCAATATCTGCTGTGATTATAGTTAATTGAGTTTTAATGTCTTGGTTATACTCTTCTATATAACTATATCCTTTGAGGGACAAGGAGTGTAGAATTATAACTTAATCCCTAAAGCTTTGCAAATGGTTTTGGTTTCCTGAAATGGTGGATTAAGTATCTGTATCACAATCTGATGAGTAAGACAAGCCTTCTTAGAAACAAAATAACTTTGTTTCCCTGTTTCCCTGTTATTAGCATGGTGACAGGGTATGTCTCCATCTATTTTTTTTAAAAAAAATACAGTCTACAGCCACAAAACAAACAAACAAACAAACCCAGAACTCACCTTTTCATAGAGTGCAAATTCCATCTGTAAGACTCAGAGACATCACTGTGCCCAAGGTCAGGCTATAGAATTAGTAGGTTCCCATGAATCCATGTTGTGTAATGGCATATTGGTCAGAATGAGCATAACCAATCAGATGTCAGACAAAATAAGACTAAGCTATTCCCCTCTTTGTGCGAATTCCCCTATATATTATACGAAACCTGAATTTCACTAATTCTACTACGCCTCTATTCAGAAGCTGCCAGGTCCCTGTGGATTCTGCTGCATTCCATGCCCATTTCCAATAGCAGTATTTACAAGAGTGGGTGCAGGCCTTGTAACAACTTGAGAGTAAGCTCCAAATAAATCTCTGGATTGTATGGCAGCTAAGATTACTACAGCCTTGTTTTTTGCGTGCCACTGTGCACGTCTACCAGTGCACGGATTTCCACTAGCAACTTCAGGGTCATCTGTTGCTGTGTGCTTTACCCCAGACAATAGCTACATTATAGCAACAAAAAAGCTTGAAGCAAAGCATGAATTAAACGAGCATGGGAATCTGAGGTTCCTGCAGAGGTTAGGAACTCTTCCACCAGAGAGTACCAAAAGAATGACAAATGCCATAAGCATATTTTAGAATCTGGGTGAATAATTGCAGTTTGTCCCTATGCCAACTAGCAGGCACAAGCAAAAGCAGCAGCACTAAAGCTTAAGTATCTCAGGCAAAGAAAAATAGCATGAAGGGAATACCCAGAACATCCAGCATCTAATTTTCCATTGGGATCCTGGTGGCAAACGCCAGTAAAGAAAAGAATGAAATTCGAGTGGCCAGGAGAAGTATCAGAAAAATCAAAGTGAGGAAACAAGATGGAAATCCTTTGATAACTGGACCAAGCTTAATTGAGAGGAACTCCACTGGCCTAGAAAGGGGGCAGAGTAGCCAGTTGAATCAGCATCTTCTTTGCAGTCCTTGGTATTCATCACAATACAGTAGGGGTGTCAAACTCAAGGCCTGTAGGCCAGATCTGGCCCACGGGGTGCTTAGATCAGGCCCACAGGGTTGCCTTGGAAACAGTGAAGGACTGGCCCACAGTTGCCTCTGCCAGAGAAAACGGAGCCCAGAAGGGCCATGTATGGCCCTTCCATGCTCTGTTTTTGCTGGCAGAGGTTTGTAGAAGGCCGTTGCAGCCAAAAATGGAGGTCGGGAGCCTGTTTTCCCTGGCAGAGCACGATCACAGGCACCCCTGACCTGAGTGATGTTGATCTGGCCATGCCCCTCTGGCCCCGCCCACCATGGGCCCCTGAGGTCAAACACAGCCCTCATGTGGCCCTCAATGAAATTGAGTTTGACACCAGTGTAAAAAGATTTTTTTTTTTAAAAAAAAAGGTCATCCTAATGTGGGAGCTGCAAAAACATGTATGCTTAAAAGTGAAGTTGCTAGTTCTGCTTCCCGATCCCACTGTAAGGGATTGGAATTGGTTTCTGCATTGAACGGATGCAGTGATTTAGTTAAGGCAAAATTTTCAGCAACCCATGGATGACAACCTGCAGTCTTAGGGAAACTCTTCAGAGCCTGCCTAGAAGCTGGATAGAGATAAGAAAGACAGCAAAAAATGTGGGTAAATTTCAGTGTATATATGATGGTCCAGATAGGAGAACATGTAAAGACAAAAAGTCTAGTTTTCCTTTGGCTACTTTATGACTTGGATGCCACGAGGGATGCACAAGTCAAGGGATGTCTTTTGACACAACTCCTAGAAGGGAGTTACAATCAGGAGCTTGTCTCCGTATTAAACCACAGTAGCTCTTTCACAGAAGGACAAAATTAAAGGGTTCTGGAATCCCTGGGACAGCCAAGCATGGTGCACTGGTGTTTCTGATAGCGGTAAGGAAACAGATACCTTATTGTGCATTAGGATATAGACAATCTTTAAAAAAGCAGACCAAAGATCCACAAAGGAAAAGTGAGATGCATCTGGAGGAACAGAAGCAAGGACTATGCTGGGAACAATATGACAAATTGGAATCACAAACTGGTTTACAGATCTAAAATCTTGAACAAAATGGAGAAAATATGTCTCTTATTGAGTGACCATTCTGGACTTTGGAACCAGCAGAGTGGATTAGGATTTGCTGGTGTGTCAGAAAGTAGGTACTAATGAGCATTGGGCACTTATAACAGATCCTTGTGGTTGAGGATGTTGCAGCATCTCCATGGTCACTCAATTGCAATTTGGCATGCTTGGTGATTGGCTTGCAATGATGACATCACATTATGCCTTGGTCACATGATCACTATTTGCAACCATTATTGTTGGCTTCTGACAAAGTCAATGGGGAAATCTCCAGAAGGTTGCAAATGATGATCGCGGGACATGCGATTATGTGGGATTTGCCTAGCAAGGACGACTGGAACTACTAGAAATGGCATTGTAAGTCAGTGCAGTCACATGATGTTGTACCTTATGACCACATTGCTTATTGAAAGTTCCCAGTCACAATTATTGTCAATAAGCAAGGACTGCTTTGGAAAAATGAGGGAGTTTTTCCAGAGGGACTTTAATTTTGACCAGCACCCACCCCTGTAGGAGATTCTCATCATGAGAGGCAGTCATCCACAAAGAGGTGGGTAGATTGGCAAAAACTTCCAGGTTGCCAAATGGTTAATTCTTGGTGAAACACAATTTTCCAATCTGAAGCACAGAGTGCTCAGTGCACTATAAAAATCTTGCTGCCTCTTATAAAAAAAGGGCAAGGACCCAATGTCTCTAACTAGTAAATTATATTATTAAATTACAATATACAAGCCCATATCCATAGACAATATATATTGAATCTAGGCATTACATTTAATATAATAATTGATTTGCTTATGGTAAAATTAGGATGACAAAAATGAGAGTGACACTACAAATGCAGTAGCTTATTGAATTAAAGCAGTCTTTAAGAACAGTCACTGTTGGAATGTTACTCTTTCTGGATAGAAGAGTATCTTCCAATACCTTTGCTTCACTTTTAAGATCATTTAATGTTATCATCAACATTTGTTTGTGCCTAAATGTTTTACGACTGGGCTAGTTAAGCTTACAGTATTTCCATGAGAAAGTGTTTTAGGGAGGGCAGATATATTTTTCTACTTTAATGCTGTCCTCCTACTGGATAGCTATTTGGATTTGATGGGCATTGGCATTCAAGACCATTTGGAGACCCACTGAAATTGCCCATCTTAGCCTTAGTCACTCCCTCCCCCATGTGTTTGTTTAGCCAGTTTCTGATCTCAGCTGATTATGCCTTTCCCTCCCCCCGCCTCCCCCGCTCTGTCGCTATCATTTTCTTTCTCTTTTCCCAGTCCCTTTTGGAAACCCACGATTCTGTTGCCTCTAAGAGCTACGAGACTCCACCACCTAGTCCTGTCCTGGACCCCATGTTCAACAACCAGCCAGTTCCACCAGATGCTGTACGCATGGTGGGAATTCGTAAGACTGCTGGAGAACACTTGGTGAGCAAATGCCTTCTACAGACTTAATTTTACACCAATTGTTGGGTTTTTGTTTAATAGTATCAGAATAAATTATGTGCAAATATAGAGAACAAAATTGTTGCCCCAAAGAGCTTACCATCTAACATTTGGTAGTATTGAGAAACCTATTAGATATCTGAAGAAAGTGTTACAAAACACGAACAGGTTTGATATAAACAAACTTATGATATTTGACCTGAGAATGAAAATTCATCTTTTGTTAATGATGGAGAGGTCTGAATCTAATTGTTTAGAAATAAATTGAATTATTTCCCCTTCTTTGTTTTACCAAATCATCAGACAGTGCAGTCTATTCCTGAGTCATTATAAATTGATATAATTTGTTAGCTAGGTATCCAGGTATATAATATGGGAAGAAAATGTAGAGAGGAACTGAAAAATCAGAGAGTGGGAAGAATGCTTAAAGTTTTGAAAATATCTGATTTAAGAAAAGAGAATAGAAGGGAGGGAGATTCGTTGTCATTATAATTTCTGCTTCTAATTTTGCTGTCATCTAACATTGTTTTCAAAGTGTTTCTGCACTGTTTGTATTTAGTTTTACTGACGTAGTACATTTTAAATGAACATAATGCTTACCATAAAATTTCTGGCTGTGTTAACCACAGACCAGCTGATGCCTATGACTTCTATTGCTGTGCAAGTACTTTGGAAAATTCACTTTTATGAAATCGCGTATAGCATACAAGACCATGCCCCTCCAAATCCGCAGAAAAACCTATCTCCATGGAACTGGTCCCTGGTGCCCCAAAGGTTGGGGACCGCTGCTTTATAGCATATTAAATGTTTAGTTATGTAGTAGAATATATTAACCATATGATATTTTAAGCTTCCTATTTGAGATGTGTTGGCTATCTGTCCACATTTCACTATCTTATATTCCTTATAGATGTAACATGTATTTGAAAAAAAAAAAGGGAAAATCACCTTTAAAGAAAAAAAAAGAGTAGGAAGCTTGGAGAAGCTTAGGAGGACTTTTATATATTCTTCTTAGCCAGTCTCAAACTGGCTAAGAAGAATATATAAAAGTTCCTCCTTTCCCAATACATCAAATTGACTTCATCTTGCAATTCATGAGGGAGCTACCTAAGGTATGAGTAATAGATGCTTTTGATAACTGAGCAGGACAAGGGGAAACATTATATGAATATTAGAAAGATAGACTCTTGACTCCCCCACTTTCTAATATGAATATTAGAAAGATAGACTCTTGACTCCCCCACTAAATCCTGCTGTGTTATCTTATTGTAGTGGGGGGGTGTTCCAGGAAAGGATAAGTAAACAAACAAATCAATGGATCATTGAGCATATCCTACCCAAATTCTCAAGGTATGAATGGCCAGGCTCAAATTAACCTACTATGGACACACTATGCAAAGACCCAGCTCCCTAGGGAAGGGTCTCATGCTGAGAAGTGGAAGGAAAGAGAAGAGAAGGACCAGTAGTAAGGTTGGTGGACTTAGTTACAGTAGTGATAGGCGCACCATTGGAAGATTGAAAGACCAGGCTGGAGACAGAAGTTTGGGAAGAAAATCTATGTGCTAAGAAGTGACCATGGCCTCATGGCATGTCATCGTCATCATCATCATCATCATCATCATCCTCATCAAAGACTTTTGAATTAAAGTCAACTCCTGGAGACTACATGGCCTACCCACCTTATTTTCTTAAAAATAGCAGGAAAACGGCATGTCATTTCTTCATTCAAGAGGTAGGCTTTTAAAGAACTTCACAGCCTAGCCTGAAGCCTAACCAGGTTTGACTTTAGCTTAGAGTCATTTCTTTCAGACCATCCAAGGTCACCTGTAGGATCCTATGTTTGCATTTGTTTCTCTCGTCCCAGGGCGTGACTTTCCGTGTGGAGCGTGGTGAGCTGGTCATTGCACGTATCCTGCATGGTGGCATGATTGATCAGCAGGGGTTGCTGCATGTGGGCGATATTATCAAGGAGGTGAATGGGCAGGAAGTGGGCAGTGATCCACGAGCCCTCCAAGAAGTGCTAAAAAATGCAAGTGGAAGTGTTGTACTCAAGATCCTGCCCAGTTACCAGGAGCCACATCCACCACGCCAGGTAGGAAAACTCGTCTCACCTCTTGAGTGTGATATTGCTAATTGTGATCACTCCTACTTAGAATAAAATACAGAACATTTTTTTTATTATTTTATACATCTAGAAAAGCAAAAACAAAATATGTGAACCCATGTAAGACATCATGAAAATAAAGAAAATGCTAATTCATTTTTGACACTACTAATTATGTTTATTTAAGAAGTATACAACCAACTCATCTTTAAAACAAACCTTGACCATATAAAATTATATCGTCTAACCCAGTGATCCCCAACCTTTTTTACGCTGCGGCCCGGTATCCCCAACCTTTTTTATGGCACGGCCCGGTACCGACATCAGCTGGGCGCTGTCATCTTGTTTTGATGAAAAAGTGCTTCCGGTGAGCTTTCTACCCGGAAAAGCTCACCGGAAGCACTTTTTCATCAAAACAAGATGGCGGCGCCCAGCAAACCAGCGGCCCGGTAGGACTTGTTCCACGGACCGGTACCGGTCTGCAGACCGGTGGTTGGGGACCCCTGGTCTAACCAATACTCTGAAAGAAGGCCACTGAAAAAGCGAAAGTTGACATTTTTATCAAGCCAACCTTTAGTATCCGTTACACATATGTCTTTCCAGGAACATGTGATAAATGTTCAAGCATGGTTAATTCAAATTTCTTAACAAATAGACAAATTGCATTTTTTTAAAAAATATATAATTTAGCTACACAGCTTAAATAAACTTTCCTCAAAGAATTTGGTTCACCATAGCATGAATAATCAACCAAATAAGAAAAAAAACAACCCAAGGAATAACTCTAAAGCAGAGTTTGACAGTGTTTTTTTTAAATGGTTCAATTATCTGACATATAATTTTGATTATAGATAATCCTCGCCTTACAATCATTCATTTAGTGAACATTCAAAGTTATAATGGCACTGAAAAAAGTGATGTATGATGATTTTTCACACTTACGATCATTGTAGCATTCCCATGGTCACGTGATCAAAATTCAGTTGCTTGGCAACTGGTTCATATTTATGATGGTTGCAGTGTCCTGGGGGGGTCATGTGATCACCTTCTATGACCTTCTGACAAGCAATGGGGAGACCAGATTCACTTAACAAGTAACTCAACAACAGCAGTGATTCATTTAACAACTATGGCAAGAAATGTAAAATGGGCAGGCATGATATTCTTCCGATTAAAATCGGAATTCCGATTTTTTTGGGAATCCCCCCCTTTCCCCCCACCCCTTCTTCTCCTCCTTCCCCTCCCCTCGGAGGCCCTGAGTCAGGAGTTGCTGGCGCAGCTCCGCGCGGCTCCAGTCCCGCGTTGCCTCAGGAAGGGAAAGGCAAAAAGGAAGAGCCACGGCGGTGCTTTGCAACGGCAGCAGCGGCTCCTGGTTTTGCCTTTCCTTTCCCGAGGCAACGCGGGACTGGAGCCGCGTGGAGCTGCGCCGGCGGTAGCAACTCCTGACAGCCCCAGCCGGATACCTGAGCGGAGCCCGGGCGGTGCGAGCGGAGGCCGCTGAGCGGCAGGAAAAGGGAGCTGGGCCAGCCACAGACCAGCCTCCGTGCAACACGCCACCGCCCAGCCCTGGCGAGGGAAAGCAGCGAGCGCTCCCCGGGCGTGCGGCGGGGGGTCTCTTTTGGCCGGCCCCGATTTTTTTTTCAGAGCAGAATATCATGCCTGAATGGGGCAAAACTCACTTAACTGTCTTGCCTAACAATAGAAATTTTTGGTTTAGCTGTGGTCATAAGTCAAAGACTACCTGTAATTAATCTTGTGCTAAGATTATAAGAAATGTAATTGTCTCTTAAAACCTGAGACCACTGATTTTGTAGTATTAGGAAATTCCAGTTCTCTGTTCTAAATGCCTTGTGCATTATTTCTATCTATTTAATAAGGTTTTAAAAGTGTTGATAAAAAGATTCCTGATTTATCTTCTGGGGAAAAAATGTTCTCCAGTACATCCAAGTTCATAGAAATTTCCAAGGAAGCCAATATATTTGAGCTCAAGAATGTAACATATTTTTCAGCTGATTGTATTGCTGTTCAGTTATTTCTGAATTATCAAAACTTGTTAAATAGTGGTGGGAAGGAGTAATTCAACTTTCTTTTCCCATTTGATTCACTAAATTAAGAGTTAGGAAAACTGATGACCTTCAAGTATCTTTATAAACGTTTCCGAACAATTTTAAATTAAAAAAAAATAAATTAAATTAAAAAGTACATCAATGTAATGGAGGTGGAACAAGAGAATGTTGCCCCTCTCACGGTTGGCATGGAGCATAAGTCTTGAGCTTAATCAGGAAGAGAAAATGCCAAAGACTCCATAACACCTTAATACAGAACTTGAATGGGATTATAGGCTAAAGCAAGTGAAAGTGACATATCAGAAATCAACGTTCATTGTAATTGAAACTGAATGATGTCATTCTTCATTCCTGATAAGTTTCTGCTCAGGGGAAAGAGATACATCTGGAGACTTAGCCTGACCTAGTCCTCCCCATCCCTGTTTTTTCCTTAGCCAAGATATTTTTATTTCTGCTCCGCCACATGGAGCTTTCCTTATGTCATGTGGAGAGATTTAAATATGAATTAATGCATGAGTGCTTTGGGCAAAGTGGTGTAAGAATTTAATAAGCAGATGTCAACTCAGTTATATACGGCCCACTAATGTCATCACGACAATGAAAAACTACAGGTTTCCCACACATTGCTTTGCTAATGTAATCCTAGATGAGCTGAAAACTGCTATGAGCAAATTCATGCTTAGAAGTCAAAACTTTAAAATCAGCTGTTTTTGTTTGGCGTAAACCAGTTTGGTCCTTATTTTCATGTGAACCTCTGAACTGTCTCTTAGTCCTTCAGAGTACACACGAATGTGGAAAAAAGCTAAAAAAAACCTTACTTCTCCCTAGGGCACTTCAAAACTGATCAATATTTGTTGGTTTGCCATGTAAGGGGGTACCACAAACTGTGTAAAACAGGGGTGTCAAACTTGCGTCATCATGGCGGCGTTACATGACATATTGGGACTTCGCTAAATCAGGCATAGGCATGGCCAACACCTGGCCCACAGGCCAAGAGTTTGACAGCCCTGGTGTAAAAGTTAACCTATATCTTTTCCGTATGTGTTGGGATTACCAATCTCAGAATTCCCCTCCAGTATGCTCAAAAAAAGTTCCAGTACTTCTGAAAGGAGTAGATTGAGAAAGATTGCAACATAAGTTTGGACTAAAAAAAATCAGATTAGTACATTGCACTAAGCCAAGGTTAAATAACAATGGTTTATTTTATAAACTACAATTGGTTAAATTGTACAAGGTTATAAATCAAAGCCGGATAAATCACACTGTGGCAAGCTCTTGTAGAAACTTGTTTCTTGTCTTCCATTCTTCAGTTCTATCCAATCCAAACTTTTTAAGTTACTTTTAGTATATTGCATGAAACTTGCAAACAAGTGCTATAGAAACCACAACCCATGTTCTTTTCTGCTGACAATTCTACAGGGACATTCGTCACCAACTGATTACCCCCTTTTATTTAAATTTCTGGGGAACTCTGATAATATTTATTTGCATTATTTGTTAAATAGCCATGATAAATCTGTCTCTCCAAAAAAGAGAAAAATTTGCCACATTAGGTGTAAACTTTGCCCATTAATAGTTAATAGTAGTCATTGATATTAGGGGTTAACTTTGCTTTTTTCCCTCCTGAATATCTTTTTATTAGACAATGACTGAAATAAAGTTTCTGTCTATCTAAAAGGTATCTCTAACCTTTTTAGGACTTGGATATGTGCTGTGGGCATTACCTAAATTATTTGGAAGGTGACAGCTCTGAATTTTTTGCCATGGTAGATAAAGCCAACGAGTCAGCACCAGTTTACCAGAAACAAAATATGTAACATTTGCTATCCTTTCACTTTTCAAATGTATTCTGTCATTCTCAGTTTACCATTATTTTTTGAGAGGAGGGAGACAGGTAGATCAGAAATCACCTACAAGTTTTTCTTTTCTAAGCATGATTATCATGCTGATGAATTTTTTTTGAGTTAAAATATTATTAAAGTTTGGATCTTTGCTTTGAATCAGGACCAAGTATCTTTTCTTGTATTGAAAAATCTACATACTATTAAAGGTAGGAGGAGCAAAGAACCATATACATTCCATGAGATCTGACTGAAGGTTTATTGGTGTCCCTGCATGCCATATTGAGGACTTCTGTACTAGCTGCTAATAGACCCTTCTTATTTCACTTCAATGAGCATAACAAATAGATGATAGCTAATTAAGGTGCATGGAAATCCAGCAAGCTTATGCATGTAAATGCATTTGTAAAGCTATACTTGTGCGGAGGAAGCTTCTCTAACTAGAATTGAGTACAAATACACTTTACTATGGTGGAAGGGTCAGTTGAGAATGGGTAGTGTATTTAGCTTTAATGCTTCAACTTTTGGCGGGGAAGGATACAGATGAGATGGATGAAATCCCCATCACAGGTGGGTATTTGAATTCCAGTTTGGAGAGACTACTGTGGATGCAATTTACATGAGAGGAAAAAGACAGAGAAAGGGTTAAACGTGGCTTCCACCTTCGGTCCTTGAATATAGATTGCCTTTTCCCTCACTGTGACCTTCCGTACTTTGCTAACACCCAGCAAAATTGTCAAGCTATAGCTACATGAATTAACTTTTACTAAATTAAAATTAGCTTCACAGTAAAAAATATGCCTTATCATTTTCAGCCTCTGCCTTGGGCTTACTTGTAATTTATGCTTGGACAGTGACATTAGTCTAATTTCAATGCCTCAGCCCATGCCTGCAGTACATGTACAACTACTTTCAGCCAATAAATCCCCAGTCTGCATTTTCTTTTCCAATGAACTCCACATCCAGTTCTCTTTTACTATACATACAGAATTGGATTCTTAATGCCGTGCATTGTAGAAATGTTGAGGGAAAAATCCAGAAGGGATTTGGGGAAGAGATGAACGGAAATTTCTTTCCACCTTTGTTGTTGAACAAGTATGGACTCTCAGAGTTCCTTCACAAATCCCAGTCTTTGTTCCATCTCTGCAAGCTTTTGTATGTGGAGGAAGGGGAGTGTGAATGAAATGTCCTGTACAGACAGGCTCAGATATGACTGTTTCCCCGGAGACATCCACAATTTTGTGCTGGCTGGAGTGCAAATAAAAGGAGTCTTATGATGCAGGGGGGAAAAAAATAAATAAAAACCCTACAAGTGCTTTTCATTTGCTGCCTTCCACTGCCAGGATCCATTGTTCAAAAAAGAGACAACTGGCAGAATGGATCCTGTACTGGCCATGCTCTTATTTTGTGGATTCTTTTTGATGATATGTAGGCTATGACTTTGATTGTTGGATTGTTGTTTTCAGGTCACAAAGAGGGCTGTTGTTAGCAATGGAGGAAAGTTACTACATCAAGCCATCTGCATAAGCAGAATCTGAGCCATTCCAATGTATTCAGATGAAAGCGTAGCTAAGAACACGGCTTACCTGTTTGACTGCACACTTCTTTGGATTTTGAGATGCAATTCTGGGGCTGTGTAAGAAAACATGAATTCTGAGAAAAGCGGCACACAAAAAGACATGGATCAGGATGTATTAGGAAATTATACGGATAGCAATTTATTAGTAAATTGTGCCAAAGAAAAAACAACCAGGGGGCTCCTCTTCTTTCGCTTTCATCTTTTAAACAATTTTACTATCTTAGCTTTACATTCTGTATTCCTAGCTTTGTGGAGCCACTTGTGCAATGTAGGTGAATCTTAATCTTTCTTCTGATCAAGAAAAACACAGTAGAATCAGGAATTCGTTTTTCTGGTGTTTACCTTATTAAGGCTTTTAGAAGAATTATTTCCAAAGTCCACAAGTATTACACTATATCAAGCAAATCAATGTAATGAGGCAGCAATACTGGATCATAGAATGCTTAATGAGCCAGTAATGATAAATCTCAATTCCTCAAAGATCTCCAGTTTTTGTTTTTGTTTTTGTTCCAAACCTGATAAGTTAGAGTTCAATGACTTGATCATTTCTTTGATTTGTATTCTTCACAATTCTTTTATCCAACTTATAGTGCTGGGATAAGGGATAAAGAGAAGTTTGTGACCTTGGAGTGAAAGGTTGCTAAATTTATTTATATGTGTTATGATAAAATTGATAAAAATTGGAAATCGCTTCCTTATATATTTCTTTTTTCTGTTCTTTTTATATTCCAACTTTTTCTCTTTTAGTTCTTTCTATTCTATTTTCTTTTAGTTTGTTTTATATTTTATTATTACAATCTCCTTCTTCTTCCTAGTGTATTCCTGCAAGTGCAGGGTCCGCTTTTTGGATAATTGAATTCCACTTCGCACAGTCAGTTGTGACTCTAGGGGGTAGGCCCGTGGCTGGCATATCTTTGTTGATAGTGTCTTGCCATTTCTGTTTTGGATGCCTGCAAGATTGCCAGCCATTGACTTCTAGTTGGTAGGCAGTCTTGGCAACAGTAGAAAGTATAAAGGAACTATTCTTCTTACATAGCTTCGTTTTCCTCTCTCAGATATTTGTGAAGGCGCATTTTGACTATGATCCAGTCACTGACAACCTCATTCCCTGCAAGGAAGCTGGTCTGAAATTTGTAGCTGGAGATCTTCTTCAGATTGTCAACCAGGATGATCCCAACTGGTGGCAGGTATCATCAGTCTTATGTCTGTCAATGAACTCTGTGTAATATTGGGTCAATGTAAGGCAGAACTAGGCAATTGACTAATGTAGAGGGTCTTTAGAGCAGAACAGCATCCCAATTATTCTTCCAGAATCCTCAGCCGTGCCAATATCTTAGAGTCTATTTTTTATCCCTAAACTAGCATACTATTTTTAGGTGTAATGGAGAGGATTCTGACCAATTGCTAATTTATGTAGTATCTGTAACCTGGAATAGGTTAAGAATGGGGACAACACACATTGTTTCAGGCAGCAAAATATTTTGAGCCCTTCATGGTAATTTATAACTGTTTACTAAAAAGCTCAGTACTACAGTAAAGTTAACAAGCTTCAGTTCAAAGGAGCATAATTTAATCTCTTTGCACATTTGTATCAAGATGATTGTTTAATCCAGGGGTCCTCCATCTGTGGGCTGTGGCCCACTACCAGGCCATGGGCTAATTGCCATCGGGCCACATGAATGGCCGTCTGAAGCATGCGCCATTGTGCGCACACAGGCAGGAGCCTCATTGTAGGTACTCACAGCCCCACTTGCGCAAGCGTTGCCATGACTTTCGCAGGCACATGCATACATGTGCACATGCATGTGCCCCTCCCACAAAATCATCCCCTTCCCCTGCTCCAGGCCACCAACCCGGAATGGTTGGGGAATTCTGGTTAAATCCATCTTGTTAGTGAGAGAGTATTTTGGGTAGAACCAGAAAAACAAATTCAAGGTAAATTGAAATCTAAACGGGGCGGAATAGAACCTGTAATCTCCCCAACTTATTTTCACTTAATTAAACCCCTGATGGCTCCACCATCTCCACCCCCCCCCCCCCCTTTTTTTTTTTTTTTTTGAAGTGATAAAATTCCTGCCAATTGCCCTACCTTCTTGCTCTCCTTTCTTACATGTTACGAAATTTTTTCCCTGCTATGTTGGAAGTTTGTTCCAACTTCAGCCAAGCTATTTATTGTGCTTAGACACATACCATTTTTCTCAAATTTACTCTGTTCTGGATTGTTATAAGAGGTGGTAGAAGAAGTTAGTCAGAAGGCAATATAATATAATTATATAATATTAAATGAAGCACAGTATGATGAAGCTGCCACTGCTGTGCTAAAAGCAAATAGGAAGATGCTGCCACTGCTAAAACCAGAACTGGAGTGTGGAAAAGAGGATGACATCAATACTTCTGACAGAGTTTGTTAAATGGGAGTTTATATTTTTTGTTAAAAGTGTTTTTTTTAGGACTCTTCCACGTGACTCTTGAAATCAAATTTGAATTGGGGATGGGTTGAGCATTACCAGTGCACGTATTTTGTTTGATTCTTATCACAGAGAGGATAATTGAGCTCCCTCAAAGAAATATAAATTTGATATATTTTGAGATGCTGAATTCTGCCTACCGCTTGGTGGCAATTATTTGAGGTTTCTGCCATTGCAGTGAGACCACCCTTGTTTCCATTTGATCACCCCATTATTCTTTCTTTCCATGTACTTTTGATGCAGTGAGAGAATAAAGTTGTGGGTTTATAGAACATGGGCAAAAATTGGAAATTATTTCCCAATGCTAGAAATAAACAAGGAGACAGAGTAGCATAGCCTTGCTATGCCAGCAGCCCTACTATTTAAAAAAGTTCCACAGAAGCAGCTGCTTTATAACGATTTTCCTTGGAATTTAATGAAAACACGGAGTGCCAATGCAAACCACCGGAGGCCGAACTGGTCAGGGATTGATAGGGCAGTCTCATAACTACATACACTCTTGAGAATGTTACCAAAGTTTGCCTTAATTATTGAAGTTTCTAAAGCACAGAAGCTAAAGAAGCTAAAGCAGTTTCCTTAGTTGATCAAGAAGTTTCCTTCATTATATGAAATGAAAATTGGTAGGAAGAAAATGCAAGAATTTCTCTGCCTAGCACTGTCTGTTTACACAGAGGAAATGCCCGTTGAGGACCCTACTTGATGCTCAAACCTCCCTTTGTTTTTGCAGGCCTGCCATGTGGAAGGTGGCAGTGCAGGGCTGATCCCAAGCCAGCTGCTGGAAGAGAAGCGCAAGGCTTTTGTGAAGCGTGACCTTGAAGTCACACCAACTTCAGGTAAAAGGCAAAGATCCTGTCAGCAGTAGAATTGGAACCACTTAGGAACATGGAAAACAAGGTCTCCATAATGTCAACAAGACCAGTAGAAAATTAGTGCCGCATGTCCATTTTAGAGATCAGGCTACAAGCATTTGTGAAGATCAAAGGTCTAAAGAACACAAGAGAGCCTTGCTGGATCAGGTCTAAGGCCTGTTAGGGAGCAATCAGATGCAACCCCAAAACTCATAAGCAACATGGAGGGCGATAGCATTTTCTACTGCTTCTGTCCAATGGTTGGGATTAGAGACATACTGCGTTTCCGTCTGATCTGGAGATTGAATAAAGCTATCAGGTTCAGAAGCCAGAGTAATAATAATTTTTCCTCTCAAGTTTTTTTTCTCCATACCTTCTTTCAAAAGTACTTTCACCTTAAAACTATTACTATTATCGGAAAGAAGGATTAGTCATTGCTTGTGGTTAATTTTCTTTGCTTCCTTCTTTCTTTTTTAATTTATTGTGAGTTTGTGTTGAACACCACCCAATATTGTAGCTAAGCAACCTTATAAATCTTCTTATATATAAAAAAAAGAGTAAATAAGGTCACCAGTGGATAGCAGCGTTGATGTGCTTGAAGCTCTGTCACTTTTTAGCATCTTTTTTTTTTACCCTTCCTGAAAAAAAAAAAAAGTTGTATTTCATGGGAATCTTCAGTGAAATATTCATCAATGCATTTTAAACAGTGATTGAATTTGCTGAAAGAGTCTCTCTATTTGGGACAAAAACATACGAAAATAGTGAACTGAGAAAGAGCTAATCTGTGAAATCAAGAACAAAGTACAGGTGGTTCTTGACTTATAACTATTCATTTAATGACCATTCAAAGTTATAATGGCACTGAAGAAGAGACGTATGACCATTTTTCACAATTACGACAACATCCCCATCAAAAATTGGACCCTTCATAACTGGCATATATTTATGCCAGTCGCACTACCTTGGGGTCATGTGATCATGACTCGTTGCCTCAGCAGAGTGAGGAAGATCCTCAGGGACGACTCACACCCTGGTCAGCACTTCTTTACTCTCCTACCATTGGGAAGGAGATATAGAAGCATAGAAACTGCACTGGTCTGACCCAAGCCTTGTTCAAAGAAAACAAACGCCAAACAGAGATAAAAGCAAAACCTCTTTAATGCTCCTCTGTGAATTCCATTCATTCACAGTAGAACGCTATTAAAACTAATTGTCCCAGATAAGAACAAGCCTTGCCAAGGTTGTGCAAGGCTGCCAAGAACAATAGAGTAAATTACAAGGAAATATTCAAAACCAAAAGTCTCCCAACACAAACCAGGATAGTCTGAACTTCCACAAGACATGAAGTGCGAGAATTTCTTTGCTTCCTGCAAAGAATCCCACCTCCAAGGGCTGGCTTTTATCCCTTAAGAGAGGGGCCATCATCATGCAGCCTTACTCCTGAGTCGCCAATGCTGCTGCAGCTGCTCTTTTCTTCGAGCTGCCCTGTGTACACTGGGAACAGGCTCCTCGGGGTCCTCTGCATCACTGCTGCCAGCCTCCACAAGCTCCGAAGGCAGCACTCCACTCTCTGATGGCAACACTCCAGGCTCTGGCCCCCATCCCTGCATCACACACAAGCCCCTCATTTGAGTCCTCACTCTCCAAGACCTCAGCCGTCCGCATCTGCTGCCGGTGAACCGAAACATGCACAAAATAGGCTGAAGAATAGTTTTTATCCGTGGACTGTCAGACTCCTGAGTGGAAAATAACCTCATAATAATATAGTATGATTGACTTGCAGGGCCAGTGCAACATGCAATAAGTTCACATGATGCAATAGGATTGTGTGTTGTAGGATTCACTGGGTTAGGGATTTTCTGTCTTCATTGTGAGTTGTATTGTGTTGGGGGGGATAGACAGTTAAAGATAATCAGAGTTGGGAGGGACCTTGTAGGTCATCTAGTCCAACCCCCCGCCCAAGCGGGAAACCCTACACCATTTTCTGACAGATGGGAGTCCAATCTCTTCTTGAAAGTCTCAAGTGATGACGCCCCCACAACTTCTGAGGGAAAGCTGTTCCATTGTTCTCACTGTCAGAAAGTTTCTCCTTATTTCCAGGTTAAATCTTTCCTTGTTCAGTTTCTATCCATTATTCCTTGTCTAGCCTTCGGGTGCTTTAGAAAATAGCTTGACCCCTTCCACTCTGTGGCAGCCCCTCAAATATTGGAACACTATTATCATGTCTCTCCTGGTCCTTGTCTTCACTAGACTAGCCATGCCCAGTTCCTGTAATGTATGAAGGGAGGCTCAGCCAATCTCATTGTACACATGTTGTACTCTGACAATAAAGGTTTGAATTGAATTGCAGAATTCTATTTGTAATGTTCCCAGCTAACTTCCAATAATCGAAGTCAAAGGGGGAGCCAGATTCAATTAATTATTCACTTAACAACTGCGGCAAAAAAAAAGGTTGTGTAATGGGGCAAACCTGCCTTGTTTAGCAAGGGAAATTTTGAGCTCAATTGTAGTCATAAATCAAGGACTACCTGTAAAGGGCCAGTAAGAGCAACAGAAGAGTTTTACATCATAAAGATTGATGAAATAAATTAAAGACAATGAAAAGGGTATCGCAAAACTTAGTGTTTTGCAGAACTGTATGAGACTCATTATTGATCTTCTCCAGTATCAGAAAATTTATGCAAAATGAGTTGCTCACATTCTGACAGCAGAGATAACAGCTTCAAGAACTGAAATTTACAGCTTGTTGTAATATTATGAGAAAGAAGGTGGTGATTTTTTTTACAGCATTGTGACAAACCGTAAAACATGTGCTCATGATTATGATTCATTCAGACATGAAGTATCACTCCATATTGTTATTCAATGGATTTCCTTGAATCTGGCAACACAATCAGTTCAGAGGATTACACTGTATTACTTTAAATTTTTAAATAATTAAGCAGAGTTTAATTAAAAACAAAAGAAGAACATTTTGCTGCAACATGATAATGCTAGGACTCTTTATGAACCATTCAAGGGGGAAAGTTGGATCTTACACTATTTGCTATGCAATCCAGTCTTGGCACTATCCAATTACAATTCAGCCTTAGGAAACTTGCCCATTGTTGGCAGAGAGGACCGGTGATTTACGTGGAAAGGTAAATGCAGATAACAAAAGAAATAACGTCAAGGATTGTTTTCCTATTTCATTTATTAAAATATTTCCATTTGGAATTGTGGAGGTGAAAATATTATTTTTCATTCATCTCTTTTTATTTTTATTGGTCTTGAGCCTTCCCTTTTGTCCCTTTCCTCTTCATTTTTGTGAATTTGTAGCATAGTCTGGATTTCTAACAATTTTAAGGGGTGGGATACTTTTCCAGATAGTAATATGAATTATTTTACTGATTTCAAAGTATATAATCACTGTCCAACTGCAGTTGTCTTTAGAACAAAGTGCCTATTAGATCACACTAAAGACATCTTTAGTTAACATTTTGCTTCAGTGTTCCAGACTCAACCAAAATCATAGCGTTTTAATGGCTCATTGCTGCTTGCCAATATCACATCATGTAGAAATAATTTAGAGTTATCACTATTTGTTTTACCATATCTTCAAAAGCATTTTAAAAACCCTCAAGCCCTTAGATAGGATTTGAATTGACAGCTCTTTGACTATAAGCAGAGAACAATTACTGTAATTAGACCATTTCTTAAACAGGGTTTTTGTTATGAATTATTTCCTAAAGCTATCTCATTCTGGAATTTTACTTGTCCTTATTCTACCTTGTTGAATCTGTTTCATGTTTTCTTTCTTCTGGCAGGGGCCTTGTGTGGAAGCCTTAGTGGGAAGAAAAAGAAAAGGATGATGTATTTGACCACCAAAAATGCAGGCAAGTGGGGAATTAATCTTCTTTTAACTAATGCACTGTTTATTGCATGAAGCAAATATAGTTGCAGAAATCTCTTACAAAGCACTGGGTCCTGTAATCTTTTCCATCCCAGCCTGTTGTTCACCAATGTGGTATTTTGAATGGAAGAAAGGTAAGAAGAGGCAAAATTTCCTTTCTGTGCACTGTATGTATGTATGTATGTATGTATGTATGTATGTATGTGTATTTAGAAATTTACATGGCTGCCTACATAACACAAGATAATCCTAGGTGGCTTACAATAAAACAATAAATAAACCAAACTAACTTAAGGACGCCGCTACATCAGGGGTGGGATTCTACCAATTCGCACCTATTTGCTAGAACCGGTTGTTAACATGCTAAGCAGTTTGGAGAACCGGTTGTTAGAAGAAATTACTGGCCTAATCCTGTAAGAAAGGCAGGAAGGAAACATTCTGGTGTTGCTTACAGAAACTGCCTCTTCGTTAACCCATATTACATTCTTGGCGGAACTAGGCTTCCTGTCTCAGGAACTTCTCTAGACCTTTTTTCCCCTCCTTTGCTGGTACTTTGCTTGTGTCGAGTGACCATTCAAAGTTACAATGGCACTGAAAAAAAAGTGACTTGTGACCATTTTTCACACTTACAACTGTTGCAGCATCCCCACAGTCAATGAGAGGCCAGGCAAAGAGATGTGTACCTTGATGTGAGTGATATTGAGTTGGCCACGCCCAGCCAATAACATGACCACCAAGCCATGTCCACTCAGTCACATGACCACCAAGCCACGCCCACCACCTCAGCCACGCCCACAGAACCGGTTGTTAAAAAATTTGAATCCCATCCCTGCACTACATATCCCACGTACAGTGGCATAAGATCACACGTTCTCCCCATACTCTTTACCTTGTTGGGCTTGCTTCTATCCTAGTCCAGAGCCCAGCTAAAAAGCCAGGTTTCACAGCTCTCCAAAAGGTCAATAGGGCAGAGACATTCCAAAAAGGGAGACTGTCCCAGAGGGTTGGGGGAGCCACAGTGTAGAGTTGTAATTGCAGGAATGTTCCACTCTCGGATGGCAAACCTCAGATAAAGAATGTTTCCAAGCAAATACAACTCAGGCAAACAAAGTCACTAATCTAAAGGAGGATTAGAGAGAGGAAGTAAACATATGTTAGACTTTAACTAGAGATAATTAATTGTATTAATTACTATGCTAAACAGTAACGAAAGTTAAGCAGTAACCAAAGTTAACCAGTGATAGAGGATAACTAAAAATGTGTATAAATGCAAGGCTAGACTCCAATAAAGTTCATCATGATTCAGTTGTTCATGATCAAACAACTCGACTGCCCCGTCATTACAACACCACAGAAAAGGCATATTCCTAAAGTCCTGCCAAATGACCACGTTTAAGCAAAATGACCAGAAGCCTGTCTATCTTATCCGACTTGTTGGAATGGGCAGATACTCTCAGGGAGAAAACCTGGCTTCATGCCATTCGGGCTTTAAATATTTTTGTACGGACTTTTCAAAAGAACAATGTGTTCAGGATTTATTATTCTATTTCTTCTACTTCATTTTTGCGTATCTGTGATTTTTTTAAATAGCTAATTTGGGGGCTGGAGAGATCCGGTACAGTTGGCATTCCTAGTAAATGAAACTGTTGGATTTGGGGAGTTGGAATAAAGATTTGTCAAATGGTAACTTAATAAAGTTATCTCCATTTTGATGAATCAGACTACTTCAAAAGAATAATTTCTACATATATGGAAAATAAGATTTTAAAAAATCAAGCAAACTTATTTTGGACATTTTTTCAAATCTGTCCAAGCATTTTTCTACGGAAAAACTGCCAAGACTAGATTTACTCAGCCCAGCCTAGAGAAATGAAGTCTGCAGTTCCTAGCCAGCCTCAAAAGCTCACGGGGATTCTGCAGCACAGTTAGCAGTGATATCTTTCCTCTTCATTGCAGAGTTTGATCGACATGAACTGCTGATCTATGAAGAAGTGGCTCGAATGCCCCCTTTCCGCAGGAAAACTTTGGTGCTCATCGGTGCCCAGGGGGTTGGACGACGTAGCATTAAGAACAAGCTTATCATGTCTGACCAGTCTCAGTATGGAACCACCATCCCATGTGGGTCATGGCTGTGGTGCAATTTGGAAGAGAATGTCTTTTGGCCAGATTTGTTCTCCTTGTATTTCTGAATATTCTTCTGCTATATTTTTAGTAGCATTGTTTAGTTGCAAGGTTGGGCAAGGAGACCTTATAGGTTGTTATTTTCCACTTGAGGAACAGAAAGTTATCTGGAGTCAAGTCTTACTTAGATGCTGACAATTTGGCAAACACCCTTTATTACACTTGAATATTTGGGGCTTAGGGCATGCCTGTGTTTCAAAGGGTGGCCCTGCTTTCAAGTCTCTGCATCTATGACAGGGGTCTTCAAACTTGACAGCTTTAAGACTTGTGGACTTCAACTCCCAGAATTCCTCCTCCAGTCATGTTAGCTCAGAAATTCTGGGAGTTGAAGTCCACAAGTCTTAAACTTGCCAAGTTTGAAGACTCTTGATCTATGGGGTTGAAATTACCTTTCTCATAAATAGCACCACTCATGTTATGTGCACGCTTGCTTTTTCATGGAAACCTTTTCTTCATGTAATCTCTTGATGGGAAATACTAAGCAATGCTAAGATCCTTTTCAGTGGAAAATATTTTGATTTCATAGAGAGGCAGGTTGAGAAGGAATTATGTACCCGAAGCAACCCATGGATGGAGCAAAACAATTTACTCTAGTTTTTCACTTCTCTTCCTTGAATGGATTACATAAGTTCTTATGAAGTTCTGTATAGTACTATATAATAATATAGTAGTATGCAATGCTTTTTATGTCTGGAGAGATTACACCCAAGTCCCAAATATTCCTTGGTGACTTTCAGCCAATTCCTACCTCTCAGCCTAACTTTCTTCACAGTGCTGTTGTGGAGATAAAATTTGGAGAGATTGCTGTAAATAGCAATAACAATAGCATGTTAGATTCATGTACCATCCCATAGCACTTTATAGCACCTTCTGGGCAATTTGCAATTTAAGCATTATATGTATATTGTCCCCAACAGGTCTTCATTTTACTGACCTCATTTTACCAGGATCTGATATTTGTGCTTTGATTGCTCAGCCGTAGGAATTTGCTAAATTAATGCTGGCTCTATGTTTTGGCCTAGTTTTTGCCATTCTTTCAAAGCAGGAGACAAAAATATTACAAAACCTGGAATATTTTGTTTACTGATGTAGTCAACCCCCTGCCCAATTACTTCATTTGTCTTAATTTAATGATTATGCAATGTGAACTGGGCTTTTGAAAACGCTGTGCTAGCTTGTTTAAACTCTGGGGAGGGGAGGGAGAACACTTTCAAAGTGCTTTAAGAATGTGCATCACACCCTTTGTTGGCTGGTTTGATGAGCATTTGAAAAAACTTTCCTTTCTCTTTTGCTCTTTTGCTATGAGAGATTGCAAAGCAGTTTTTTTAACTTAAAGAAATTTTGTGCAAAGGCAGTGTCTACAACCACCTCTTGATGTTGAACAAGGTGAGAGTCATCAAATCCCCCAGCCTGGATTTTTTCTCTCCTTTGGAGGCTATAGAGAACTGTATTTTTATTTTCAAAATATATAAATCTCCTAAAATGTTGTGAGAACAATTATAACCCCAAGTTTACCATGAAATGATTTCACTCAGAAAATTGTCTAAAGGCAACATGAAGAAAAGGAGGCATCACCAAAAGTCCTGTGGAGCTGCATGAGTAGCCCAAGAAGGAATATACCAAGACATAAGAGAAAAAAGACAAGAAGGAATATTACATCACAGGGATCTAGAGAGATTAAACCCAAAACTCTTTACAGGTAGTCCTCGACTTACAACAGTTCATTTACTGACCTTTTGAAGTGGCACTGAAAAAAAAGTGACTTATGACAATTTATCACACTTACGACCATTGCGGTATCCCCTTGGTCACATGATCCAAATTCAGGCATTTGGCAACTGACTCATGGCGGTTGCAGTGCCCTGGGGACATGGGATCACCTTTTGCAACTTTCTGACAAGCAAAAGTCAATGGGAAAGCCTGATTCACTTAACAACTTAATAACCACAGTGATTCACGTAGCAACCGTGGCAAGAAAGGTTGTACAATGGGGCAAATCTCACTTAACAAATGTCTCACTTAACAGCAGAAATTTTGGGCTCAATTGTAGTCATAAGTCAAAATACTATGTCCTGATTCTTATAGAAACCCAGTGAAGGATCTGCAGTACATATAGAGCAGGGGTCAGTAACCTGGAGCCGCATGTGGCTCTTTCATCCCTCTGCTGCAGCTCCCTGTTGCTGGTCGGCTCCACGATTGATAGGGCTTTTAGTTAGAACAGGTAGAGGAAAAAGGACGCCATGCTAGGAGGAGGCTCTATGGTGGGGGAATTGCCATAGAGTCTAGTCAGCTCCAAAATTGAACGGGAGCTTCCGGTTAGGACCTTTGTGGCTCTTTGAGTGTTTAAGGTTGCCAACCCCTGATATAGAGAAACAAAAGATCCAGGGCAATGCAAAGAGTTTTCTTTTTTAAAAAATTTTTTTTTATTAATTTTCCAAAGTTTAAAAACATAAAATAAAACTATGCATTGTTATCAACATCAAGATATCTTTTACATTTCCTTACATTTTTCAATATATGGTTACTTATTCCATTACCATTACATCTTACTCTTGTTACAAATCAGTATATTTCATCTTACACTTCAATCTTTTCTATAACATATATACATATTTACATACTTCCTCACTCTTTTCCTAATTGCCATTTTATTTTCTTTTTATTTCTAAACCACTCATACCAGACGTATCAGTTTTCTTCTGAGCCTTGATCAAAGGAGGCAGTGGAGAGGACTATATATGAGTTCTGACCTTTCATCAGGCCTTTCATCAGGAGGTAGAGATCATCTCCATTTTCAAATTCAGGAAATGAGAACCATTGGACTCTGAAGTGGTACTTGTTGCAGTTTATGAAAACACCAACATTTTTTTCTCTTTTTTATGACCCGTAATCCCTTAATTCGGGATAGAGTTCAGGCGACTGAATGGAGCTGAGTGTTTACTGGCTGGATGCTTTTCATTATACTTACAGATACTTTCTCCTTGTGTCTTGAGAGAGAAACATCTGTCTCTACCTAGAATTGAACTGTCAACCTTAAGAGTGGGAGGAGAGTATCTTTACCATTAGGCTATCACTGCTGCTCAAAAAATACCAAAAATTGTGACATCATCAAATGTCAATTTAAAAAATGTTTTGTAGAATTATATTTACTCATGACAGTATCCAGGCTAAAATATTGCCAAAGTTTGTTCTAATTGAACCCAGTTTCTTAATCTGTCTCTGGCAGACACCTCACGGAGGCCCAAGGAACATGAAAAAACTGGACAAGTCTACAGCTTTGTGACTAGAAATGAAATGGAGAGAGACATCAAAGCAGGCCGCTATCTGGAACATGGTGAATATGAGGGGAACCTCTATGGAACTAAGATTGACTCCATCCATGAGGTTGTGGAGTCAGGCAAAATGTGTATCCTGGATGTTAACCCACAGGTAGGAAATATTTCCCATTATCCACTGGTTACTTAGAGATTTGTCTATTTACGGGATTTGAGACACGTTGGTTTCTGTAATTTTTAGAAATCCAAGTATATTTGTATACCTTCTTAATATGACAGCTTCTTCAACTGTAATCATCCTAACTATGACAGATAAATGGAAGTTCCCCAAATTCAGTTTTCTCTTATTGTTGAAATGTTGACAATTGTACTGCCTCGTGTTCCTATTACTTTACAAATCATATTTCTACACATTTTTCTCCTAACATACATGGAGAAACAGCTGTTCACTAAGTTGGTGTCAACCTTGATTTATTTGTATGATCTCAGGATACTGAATTAGTGTTGTGCTAACCTGGAAAATGGAATAATTCTGCAATCAGGTAAATGTGTGACTACAGAAATAATGAATGGTATCTCTACTTTGTATAGTGCCTAGCATGCTAGTGGTGTGGAAAGTTGGGTATTTTTAATAGCAAGTATTCTCTTTGTTGGATATTTGGATAGGCTGTGAAGGTGTTGAGGACAGCTGAGTTCGTTCCATATGTGGTGTTCATTGAAGCACCAGATTTTGAGACTTTACGAGCTATGAACAAAGCAGCTTTGGAAAGCGGTATAGCTACTAAGCAACTCACGGTGAGTCTTCATGAGAAGGTTTCAGAATGATGGAAATGAGAAGTGATAAGTTTGGGAATGGAGCTAACTACCTATGCTAAATCTATACGCTAACTGGCAACTCTAAAACATGCGTGGAAATGTTTTATAAGTTTGCTCATGATTTAATTAGGGCAACTGCCGGAATCCTGACACTAACACTCTTATGTTTGTAACATTTAATTGAGCAGATTGGTGCATTATAAGGCAAAACCTTGTCAACAAAGAGACTTCAAATTGACTAAAATACTGACTCTGGGACCTGGGCACATGATCCCAATTTTTAATATTACATGACAGTTTCCCAGCCACTCTTGCAAACCCTTGCTCCCCCCCCCCCCTCCGCGGAGGCCACTTACCTACCTCCTGGGAAGGGAAGAGCAGGTAGGAAGGAGGAAGGGAATGTCCTGTGTAATTCCTCTTGCACACCCCCACATACTTTCCCTGACCGGAACTGTGATTATATAGTGGCCTATAGCAAGGGTGGCTTTACCTTTTATTGGCTCAAAAGCTATATTTAACATTTGCAAGGCTGAAAACTTCCGTGGGTGAAGTGATGGTGCAAAATGATTGAGGCTATCTTACACACGAATGAAGTCAGAATGTTATTTTTATCTCTTTATGAGTTTGGGGAGGGGATGCTGTATGTATATACAGTGTGTGTGTATGCATGCCTAGCAGTGGTAGTATGCTACTGGTTCGGACCGGTTCAACCGAACCAGTAGTAAAAAAGAAAAGAAAAAAGCCTCCAACGATCAGCTGAGAGGAGAGAGAAGAGAAATGTGCAGGATCGGCCCTCCCACCCAGCCCTGTGCTTTTCTCTTCTTTATCTTCTCAGCTGATTGGCGCTGCAGGTCTCAGCTGGTGTGGGGAAAGCTGTGTGCTGGCGTTAGGCAAAGAACGCCCACCAAGCCACGCCCACCAAGCCACGCCCACCAAGCCACACCCACCGAACCGGTACTAAAACAACTTGAATCCCACCACTGATGCCTAGGTATAGCATATACGTACACACATACCATACACAAAGAGAACGAGACATACATGTTTATTTTTAGGGATTGTGCTACAGTTTTTGTATATTTGCACTTCAGAAGGGTACAAAACCTACCTATGGTCTCTCTCCCCTGGTTTACCGCCTGCTCTGCCTTTTTCTGTATTTAACCAGGATGCTGACCTGAAGCGAACTGTGGACGAGAGCTGCCGAATCCAGCGAGGCTATGGCCATTACTTTGATCTCTGCTTAGTGAATGATAATATGGAGCGGACATTCCAGCAACTTCAGGTGGCCTTGCAGAAGCTGTACAACGAATCACAGTGGGTTCCTGTCAGCTGGGTTTACTAGGAAGGAGTTCCCCTCTCCAGAGGTCCGTAGCCTCTGAGCCTTGATTTTCCCCACCTTCTACTATCTCCATTTTTGCCAGGGGAGCCTAGACTTTTTTTTTTTAAATGTGCCCATGTCCCTTTTCAACCGTCAACCTTACTCAAGTGTCTAGGCTGTGTAGATTAAATTCAGTTGGCTTCACTCTATTCTAGAGAAAAGGTGTTTTCTCATTCTGTTTCGTAACACCTTCAGCCTGACAGGAATTTTTTTTTTTATTGCCATAAGTGAATGGATGTCCTTCATCTCCTTCTCTCTTTTTTTTACAGTAAGTTGTTTAAATATGAATTCAATCTGGTGAACACAGAATTGGAGGAGGAGTGGAGCAGAGCTACGCAATACCCACAATGCCTTGCTAGGTTTGCTACTCCTGATCCTCTCTTTTGTAATTCAACCATTGTGAGATGAGAAGGATATTTCTCCAGTCACAGCTAACTCACTGCCAAAATCCCTGTTTTTCTAGATGGACCACAATTCTGATATTGCCAAAAGAACTGGTCAGCCTGAGATAACTGGATGTGTTGCTCACTGAGATTGTTGAACCAGGGTAGAATGCTATAAGCCTGGCCTGCACTAATATTGCAACATGTTAAGGGGATTTATGGATACATACATAAAAAGTTTATAGTGAAAATTTACGAATGATTGGTCTTTTGGCAGGAACTTTGGTTTGGAACCTAATGCCCTGGAAATACCAGGGCAGTGATAAGAAGCAAGTGTTGTGACTCAGTTTTCCTATCTATAAAATGGGGCTAAGTATCATGGTAATTATGTTTATACTCTGTGGTATTATCTGAAAATGGTGCAGATCTCTTGCTTGAAATTTTTGGAAAGCTATTCCAATTTATAACAGACAAGGTGGATCAACTGAACCTGACAACTTTTCCTATGTTCAACTGAGACTTCTTCCTTATCCTTCCAGAAACTGGTGTGTTAATAGCAAAGATGCTTCATTGTCAAATTAAGCATACTTTTTTTTTTCAGTATTAGTCAATCTGGGTGCTTTTCCAAGTTACAGATTTCATCTTCCATAATTCTCAGTCCTATCATGCTGACTTGAAAATTCTTGGAGTTGAAATCTATACATCTGGCAAATGATCAAAGACTGACCTATATTAATCATTGATTCAAATGACCGGTGCTTCACAGTAATTGTATAGGTAGTCCTCAATTTACAACCCTTTGTTGAGTTACAAAGTTACAATGGCACTGAAAAAAGTGACTTTTGACCATTTTCACACTTATGACCATTGCAGCATCAATGTGATCAAAATTGGTAAATTTGGCAACTGATTCATATTTATGACAATTGCATTGTCCCAGGGTCATGTGATCATCTTTTATTAGTTTCTGACAAGCAAAGTTAGTGGGGAAGCCGGATTCAACTTACTTAACAACTGCAATGATTCACTTAGCAACTGTGGCAAGTAAGATTATAAAATGGGGCAAAACTTACTTAACAACTGTCTTGCTTAGCAACAGAAATTTTGGACTTGCTTGTGGTTGTAAGTTGAGGACTGACTGTAATACATGCTGATGCATACTATAAATCTCTTCCCCACAGTTTCTATATCCATTCAGTGCAGGCCTCTCAACATACACCATCCAAATGTGTGAACTTCAGAATTCCTCACAGCCACACAGACATTACTAAAAATTCCTCATTGTTGAGGATGGCCAACTCAGTTCCTTGGTTGTGCCAACCTTGCCTTCAGTGAGATTCTGTTGTGTTGGAGAAATGCCTGTGATGGACCATTCAATTTCTGTCCAGTTTGGCTTTCGCCATAATGGTAGGTTCAATGCTTCATGATTCTAGGGTTTCTGAGAGACAATTACTACTACCTCACATACTATGGCAGCTGTTAAATGGTGGCAGAAGCCTCTACAGACCAAGGGTGAGACCTCGGGCTCAGCTTTTCACTGCCAGACCTGGAAGGGCATTTCTAGCAATCCTTTTATATGCATTCATTTCTTTATTTCCCCCTGTCCTCGTTCTGATTTTTCCACATCTTAAATGATGCTTGGAAAAATGCTGAGTCTGCCTAAATTGGTTGGAAGAGGGACAAGGCAGTGTAAAGGGATGAGATTAACAGCCCTGATGGAGCTAGCTTGTTTAGTCCAGGATTCTGTTTGTGTCACATTGCAGCCAACCACTCAGAAATGATCTCCCTCTTCCAGTCTTCTCTAGCAACTGATCTCTAGAGTAGATTGCCCCTGTATGCTGGAGGAAATATGAATTTGTCTTGTCTTCTTTTAAAACGATTAAATTGTGGCCATACCACATCTGACGGCTGCACACTCTGTAATTTAGCTAGGCTTTGTATAAAAGCATTTCACTGTACAGGTTGTGAAGCTTCATTGCATCTGAATTCAGACTGGAAAGACTTCACTTTTCAATTGGAAAAATTGACTAACATGGGTGACTAGTTTACTGCACACCCAGCCATCTCTCTCTCTCTCTCTCTCTCTCTCCCTTTCTCTCTCTCTCCTTTCCTATAACCAGAGCATATACTTTCTAAAGCAATAACTCCATCTGCTGGTAATCAAATCTGATGGGCCTATAATTTTAGTGTCCTACAAGAACTGTTCAGGGAATCCATTTGATCCACTTGATTATTGTGGGGACAACAATGCATTAAGGCAGCTTTATATTTAAATATTGATTGCAGCTCAAACTTTCCCCCCTCCTTTTTGGAAGTATTTCCATATGGCATTAAATATACACAGATGGGGGAAAGGGGCAATGCTGGGGACAGTTGGTGTTGTGGGTCCAAATAATTAAATGTTTTGTTATTGGCATAGCAGGACATCCACTTTGTCAATGTGGAAGCCCAACTTCATAGCAATCCTTTTATAATGTGGACACAATATATTCTAGATTAGCCCATTAATGATTTGGGGACCGTTATTCTAATCCACATTTTCTTCCCCATTTTCTATGTAAAGAAAGCATGCCGAAAAACCTCTCCAAAATTTATCAGATTTATCCTATATTTCCCTTCCTATGTTACCACAATAGGAATATCTCAACCTCCACACTTTGGGCTTTACTCTGTGATCACAATAGATTTAAAATGACCTACTGAGGTGAGCCTTTGAAGTGGATTAGATGAATGAAACTATTGGTGTCTTAAGTGGAGCCATCCATGTTTTTCAAGATGGGCCTAGAAGGATTTGGTGTTCTTGTTGAGCAGCAAAATGGCCCCACACCAGTCCCGTTTTATTTTTTCCCCCTCATGTAATTTTATTTTTGTTTCTCCTGTGCTTAAGCCCTTTGTGTTCCCTCAGTTTTGATCCTTCCATCTCTGTGTCCTCAAACAACCTAATGTAACATTTATCTGGCTTTTAATTCTCTTTTAATTTTCTGTCTAGGTAATTACAAGGGCTAAATTCTTTTTTTGTTCCTTTCTATAATATTAGTCATTAAAACACATCTATAATATACATTGTCAAATAAAGAATTATTCACAGTCCACTTTGTTACTATTTTAGTGACAATTTATTTAAGCACTTCCCTTTCTACATGCATTTATATATGTTACCAGTGAACAACATTAACATTTCTAAAATTTTTGCTTATATATATAAATATATATATATATATATAAATATATATGTATGTGTGTGTGTGTGTGTATTTAAACTGCATATACTGTGAAATAGAATTCCTTGAAACTGTCATTTCTTGTATTGTTGTTCTTCCTCTTTTAATTTCTTTTTTTTTTTTAATCTTGCAGTTATCTTCCCCTTGAATAATCTGGTGTGTTTTTAAAACCAGAATCATTATTTAAAAAGTAAATAGTTAAGTGTCTATTTACTGTCTGTGCTAGACAAGTTTTTTCAAAAGTGTTGTTACTTCAATTAGCACCATGTACGTGCAAATGATGATTTATATCTTTTTTTTAAAGAAAAAAACATGTCTTGAAGGCTTAGCTTGGCAGAGTATCCTCTTCTTTATAAGTGTTTCTTTTCCTCTTAATGCTGGGCAAAAATGCATTCATTGTAGATAGCCAAAAGAGAAGTTATCCAAGTTTTTCTATTTTGAATTATGTTTCATTACAATTGGATATTTATTTGTAAACAAAAACAATTCATTTAATAGGAATGTTTCAAGTTTATTGCAGTTATTACGAATCACATGAAGAACCTAATTTGAACTTTCAGTACAAATACTTGATATTTGCTATTCAATTCTGACCTCATAGTATGGTCTCTTTCCATAATTTTGGAAATTATTTAGATCTGTGCTGATTTGTTCAGGCACTTTGGAGTAGAGATGCTTTGTGGTTCCTATTCTCCTTCCAAAGTGCTTTTCTGCACTTCTGCTAGAGCTTGGTTTGCCAACCCTTGTTTTAAAAGTGGTGTGATGTGCTCTGCTTGATCAGTATCTATTTTCCTGGCTGTTTTTACCCCAGGTTCATTACAAAATGGCAGTGGCAGTCATAGGGGCCTTTGCAGAAGACCATTAACTAGGGAGCACCAGATACTGTTTCGGTGAGAAGCAGAGATAACTAAATTATGCTACCACCTAAAAGTGGTAAAAAACATCAATAGCAAAAAAACAAAAAACAACAAAAAACCCCACCCCATTTTCAAATTACTTCTACTATAGCCACTGACTACCATGTATATCATCAGAAGTGGCTTCATTTTGCTCCAGAAGTGGTGTATCCTTCTTTAGATTTGGCCAGAGATTCTCCTTATCTAATCAAATGGGAAGATACATAAAAGAGCAGTTAGTCAGTGCCTTGCTTTCCTTGTTCCATCATGGTATCAATTTTTTTGCAGCAAGGAAAAATATTTTAAACTACTAGTTAGGCACTGCAGGGAAGTAGCCAAATTTTCCTTCATTTGCAGTTGGAAAAGAGGAGGACAAGTGAACAGGGGCACCATAGCTTCAAAAAAGGAGGCCAGAATTCTGAATAGATAGGCAGGATGAAGTGCCTGTTTTTGCCAATTACCTTTAGAAGAATTACTGCAAAACTGCTATCATTGGATTTCCTTGAAGCCATGCTTGAGGTGTGGAATGTAGCAATATCACTAATTTCAGGCTGGTACAATTTTGGAAGGAATCCTTATTGTTCGCAAGAAGTAAGTTAGATGGTATATAAATAAAAAAAATAAATGAATAAACATGATCACTCAGATGTTTGTGGAGGTCCACTAGCTATCGGTTTTGGG